CAGCCAGGTTAACCCACATGACCATTTTACAGTAGAATCTTGGTGTGTTCTCGTTGCTTGTTCCTGCAGGAAGAGAGGAAAGAGGAAAGAGTAAAGGCCTAGTTGTTGACATCTCCCTGCATCCTGAAATGCCTGGAGTCAGCATAGATATTAGTTTGGCCTCTTCTAACCAAAGCAGCACTGCTGGCAGAGCCCCTGCCTCCCCACTTCTGGGTTACCTGTGTCTGGGCTGTGCTGGGAGATGTCCCTCATGGTGACCTGGCTGCTCTGGTTGGCAGCAGTGGCTGTGGTGGGTGCTGCTGTTGTTGTGACTGGAAGGAGAAACAGATGAATATGTTCAGAAAACAACGATTTCTGCAGCACTTCATTTGTGTCCCAGAACATGGGCTGGTTCATCGTTACAGGGTTGTTTTTAATGGTGCTTCAGGGATTCTGCTTCTGCATCTTCAGTAGATGCACATTAAATAAAGCCACTTTCTCCTACCTCTCCAAGAACAGTGGCAACACGGGACTTTATAGGTCCCATTTTGAAAAGTGATACACTGAAACAACACCCAACCATGGAAATGGAAGGCTTAGTGTTCCTAATTCATTGGCAGCACAGTCAGTGGTCCTTCTTGTTAGGAACAATGTTTTGGGTGATGTGGGAACGTTTTCTTTCCACAGTCAAACCTCCACCTCACCTGTGAGGTGCTTTTTGAGGTGCTGTAAACATACAGAGGGTATCAAGACATTGAGGATTAACGTGAGGTGAGCAAGGAGTTGCTGACTGTGGATGTTGTAACTCTCATCCCACATCCACCAGCAGTGAGGGATGGGGAGGTGCTGCTGGGCTGCGCGACCACCTGTGTGTTTGGGCAGGGCCGGTACTGTGAGCAGAGCTGGTGGGCAGGGAGCCTCTGTGAGGAGGAGCAGTGCTGTGTGATGAGACGGCTTGGGCAAAGAAGCAGGGACATGGGGAGTGTGGGCGATGGGCCGGATTGAGAAGGCACGGGCAGGGGTGGTGGGTGTAAGCGAGGAGGGTGAAGGTGTTGCTGACCTGGGAAGAAGGCGGGTTGCCCAGAGCTGATGTGGAGCCCTGGGTTGATGTAGTTGATGCAGAAATAGATCCCCTCATCCTGTGCCCTGAAGGATTTTACCACCAGCCGATAGAAGTTTCCTCTACTTAGCACCTCAAAGTTTGGAGCTGTTTTCTCACCCTCCTGCATGGTGTTTGAATAAGAATGGGTACTGGAGAGAATGAAGTGAAGGTTCCCATCCTTATCCAGGCGGATCCAGGTTACTTTCCAGGAGGTTTTGTTTCTCCAGCAGTCCAACTCCAGCCGCTGTCCCTCCTGGAGCTGTATGATCCTCCTGTTGAGGAACCTGATCACCACCGCATCCCTCTGTCCGTGGGCGCCAGTGCAGCCTGTGGGCAGAAGTCGGCCATGTCCCCTCAGGTGCTGCTTGGGAAGAGCTCCGGGTGCTTTTGGGCAGGGCTCTTCCCTGCTGGTGGAGAGTGTGGCAGGCAGGCAGCTGGGCTGTGAGGGTGAATGCAGAGAAGGACCTCGGCGTCTAGCACGCTT